GAAGGAAAGTGGGGAAAGTGATGATGAGGATGATGATGGTGATGGTGATAACGATGATGATGATATGACTAATACTTATTAAACACGTGTAAGGCACTTTTTGAATCATTCTACGTGTGTTCTCATTTACTTGCTACAGTGACTTTCTGAGGTTGCCCACCTCTCAGATGAGGAAACTGAGGTACTGAGACAGAGCTCACACAGCTAGTGTAATGGAAGGGGATTTGGACCCAGATTTGTGGGACTTCAGGAACTGACTGGGATTCAACTAGTGAATGATAATTTGGTATGCTTATCCAGGGAATGGGTGTCTTGCCAGGCTATTTCTGGAGATGCCCAAGCCTATGTTGGGGGTTATTGTGAGGGAGATCATAAAGAGGCTTTTCATGTATTAGGCAAAGAGATTAAGAAGAAGACTCAGAGGGGAAAGGCACCTGGTAGGGGAATGACCTAAGAATTTGGACAAATCAGCTGGGGTTACATATTATAAGGATTTGGTGTCTTAAGCCTGAAAGCTTTAGGAAGCATTTGGAAGGCTTCAAGCTGAGAGAGACTTGCATTTTTGTAAGATGACACCGTTTCACTGTGAAAAATGGACCTGAGTGGCCGCAGGAAATTTTAGGAGGTCATTCCATTGATAATGTTGACATGGGGAAGGTGATCATGGCTCAGACTAGGCGACTTGTTTAAAATAAATTCACCAATTTGGGCCGTGTCATCCCCAGATGTTTAGTCTGCCACACTCCCATCCATCCCTCCTGCCTTGTGATCTTTTCTGTTGCGCATCACTTTCAGCTGGTCTGAAAACTTGGGGGAATTTTCTGAACAAGCCACTCCTCAAATGTGGGTAGGCAGGGAGAATTAGCACAAATAAGTGACTTAATCTTGGCCCTGGATGGAGGTGTCTGGATGAAAGGCCAGTTACATCTTTAACTGAGATGGAAGGAAGTGGGTCTGAAGGACTGGGTTTGTCCTCAGCACCAGGCGGAAAGATTGAAGTTACTCTCTGTTCCCAAGTCAGGCATCTCTGGGGACTAGAAAAAGCTGTGAACTGAGTTGGGACGCATTGTTTTTAAACTCTGGGACCTTGGCCATGTCACTGAATGGCCTTAAGCCTGCCACTTTATCTAGATAGTGGGAATAATAATGCCTGCCCTCTGTTTCTCACAGATTCCTGGCAATATCCAATCCAATGGCGTACATGGAAATGCTTGAAAAGTCACAAACCATTCTATACACATTAACTGTCACGTCCAGTCAGTGAAGTGAAAGGCCATTTTTGGATGCAAAGAACAACCTTATGAGGCAAGCGTGCTCGTTTCAAAATTTCAATTTTCTTAAGTATCTGAGTATTTTAAGGGTCATTTCTAGGATCCGTTTGTACTTTCTATTGTAAGTAGCTGCATAAAAGCTGGCATTTCTGTTTCGGAGAAGCAGTACTGCAGAGCGCTAAGAGCATTGGACTTTGGAGTCAGATATAAGTTCAACTCTATGCTCTGCTTTTTGACACCTGTGTGAGCTTGGCAAAATTATTTAGCTCCTCTGAATCTTCGTTTACTCCTCTGCAAAATGGGTGTATTAGCAGAACAGGCCTCATAAGCCTGTTTTGAGAACTAAACGAAACGTTACATGTAAAGTTGTTAACACAGTGGTTAGTCTATGTGAAGAACTCATTAGGTAGTAGCTATCACTATGTCTATGTTTTAAAATTTTTTTTTTAATTTTTTTTAATGTTTTTTATTTATTTTTGAGACAGAGAGAGACAGAGCATGAACGGGGGAGGGGCAGAGCGAGAGGGAGACACAGAATCGGAAGCAGGCTCCAGGTTCTGAGCCATCAGCCCAGAGCCCGACGCAGGGCTCGAACTCAAAGACCGCGAGATCGTGACCTGAGCCAAAGTCAGACGCTTAACCGACTGAGCCACCCAGGCGCCCCTATGTTTTAAAATTTTTACCTTTTAGCTGCATTTCTCGTTTAATTGTCTGGTATCAATGGGGGGAGGACTGGAGTTCTGACTGTTATGCATGGTACTTATGCATGGTACTTACGCATGGTACTCATTTATCCACTTAGGTAGATTCTGCACGGACATAGGAAGGGTCTCTTCCCCATCATTCCCCCCCATATTCTTAGGAAATGCTCTAAGGGAAGGAATCAGATGGGAGAGGGGTAGAGACAGCTTGTTGTTGGAAGGCATAATGATGAGATCAAATGACATTAGGCCACTCCGCATTCGTGACGTTCCCAGGCCCCCTGAGCACCCACGACACTGCAGAGAAGTTCCCACCGGTCTTGCATCATCAGTGGTGTTCCCGCTTGCAGCCTCATGGGAACGCACATGGGGGCCGTGTCCAGGGGTGATGCTGACGCACAGCTGTGCGCTGGTCCAAACAGTTCCGGGGAGGCACTGGGTGCCGGGCAAAGCCGGCACTTGTGATGTCACAGAGGAATCTCAGGGCTTGGAAGGCTGACAGAATGCCTTTGCCAGCCCTGGGCTGCAAATCAGAAGGGAATTCGGCCTCCAGAAAGTTCACTTTCACTCCAGCCTGGAGCCAGTCAGAATCAGTGCAGGGCTCTTAACAGATTATAGATTGATTCTGCTGAAATGGAGAAAAATGCAAAAGGCACATCTTCTCATTCCGAGTAGCACCCGCTGATCCTCTCTAAGCAGATGGACTGATAATTACTCCCATCAATAAGGAGGAAACGCTCAGCTCAGCCTTGCCGACCTGCGGATTCCCTCCTCCTTTTGCCAAAGCTGAGAATGTGTATGGAACAAAAACTGTAGGGGGAGCTATTTTGTTTTGAATGACGAGTGTAATCTGCCTTTTCAAGTAAGCAAGATATTGAGAACAATTTCACTTTTTGGGGCATTATGAAAGTGCTCTAGAAGGAGGCACAGGTCATTATATAGGAAACTGTGTAATATGCATCAGTGTGGATCTGAATGAGGTATGAGGCCCATGCTCTCCCAGTTATATCACATGATATTTGGGCATCTTGGGGTAAAGTTGGGGGCACAGTCTTGAAAGCAAGACAGCCCTGGGTCCAGATCACAGCTCAGCTACTTAGCATCTCAGCAGCCTTGGACAAGTTGCTTCATAACCCTGTAAAAGGGTAAAAAGGAAAGAGGAATGTCTGCACAACCTCCCCCACTAAGTTCTTACTCGGATTTAATTTGACACTGCATTTAAAATTCAGCCGGTAGTCTGCACTCAACAAATGGTTTTTCTATCCTCCTTATTTTTCTGGAGTGTCAGATACCGCACTCTTTCATCCTCATCTGTGAATGTTGCGCTTCTAATTGGTTTCTTGCCTTTTATAAAGAAGATGCGATTGGGCTCACAAAATAGGGCACATACTCAAGATTAGTCCTGCTGTTAAGTGTCCTCTGCTCATTACTTTGATGGGATGGTTTGAGGATGAAGTCTTTGCTGAAGAGTATTTGATGCTGTAGGAGAATGTGTTTGTGCCTGAGCACAGGTCAGAAGAGAAACTAATGATGGAATGGCACTTGCTTCTGTGGAGAGGCCTGGGCAGTGACTTGAAAATGATTTTTGAACAAAAGCGTATTTCCTGGTATACCGAGGATATATGGCTGTGACAGCCCAGGGACTGCTCAGCTCCTTACTCAGACATAATACTGCTCAGGGTAAGTCTCCTCCAGAACCCAGAAGACTGTAAGGTAACAGCAAGCCAATTTCTCTGCCTCCAACAAAATAAAGATTGCTTGGGAATCCATCTTATAAATCACAAATGGGGCTTACTACTAGGCCAAGGAAACAATTAGTAGTTATCCAGTAAATGGAATCAATAGAGGAAAAAACAACCGACCCACAAAAACACAGCAACATATTACAAGGGAAAATGTTCTGCATATTGTCTTCTGTCGTGCTGGGCTAGCACATCTTAATGAAGAGCTATATTCTCTCAGGATGGTACCCCAGAGAGCTTATCAGAAGTGTTACTAAGAAGTCGCGGTCTTAATTTTTTTTTTTTTCTCCAGCCTCGCATATACAAGAGAATTCCATATTTGACAGCATCCTGGTACTTCCTTTATTTAACAAAGACATCTTAATGTTTCCATGACGGTAACATGTGAGTTACCTCACGTCCAGTCTTAAAATAGTTGTTACACTTAAGGAGTATTATTAGAATAAAGCTGGAAGGAAACATGGAGACAATTACTCTAATTCCCTCATTTTATAGGAGAGAATCCAGGGGCCCTAGTGCCTTCTCAAGGCTGCACAATGACTGGGGTCAGGGCTGGCTTGAGAATTCAGATTTGTATTTCCATACTGATGTTCCTTTTATTTTTTGACATGTAATAATTCTTCTTGGTCTAGAAGAAGATTAGAGTATTAACAGTAGTTTAGATGTAAGAGAATACCACCAAACAGGCCCACTGTATAAATCATTGCAGAATATCATAGAGGAGGGACCACAAAGACCACAACGGTTACATTTTACAGTCAAAGAAAATGTGGCACAGAGAAGTTGAATGACTTTCTAGGGACAACCTGGCTAATAATTGAGGGAGTCAAGATTTGAACTCGTTGGATCTGGCATATCTGGTACTAGTTAGAACATCGGCTGGAGTTGGCCTGGGGTTTTACTGGACTCATCTCTGTTTTAGAGTATTCTGAGAGATGTCCTGACCCTGCTTCCGCGGGCTATGAGGAAGCTTGCACTTTGGAAACACATGAGAGAGGTTGGAAGTGTGGGTTATTTATAGCCTGAGAGGAGAAAGTTGTTCAACTTCATTTCCATCCCTAACCACATGGGAGAATAGGTTGGAGTAATAGGAAGACCCTCAGTGGTTGCGAAGTGTGTGTGTATACATTGTGGTGGGGACTGTATTATGCCTGAGAGTCCTTTGGTTTTCTCTTTTCCCTTCAGCTTTCTGAGATGCTCTGCCTTATAGCCCAAAAGAGGTGGCTTGCATGGCTCCTCTGACTGAACTCGGGGTAGATACAGATGGCCCCTCTGAGAGCGTCCCACCAGGGTTTTTGCAATTAGGCATAGTGATTGAATTAGTTAACTTTGGAGAGATGTGTTGGAGTCACCTAGACTTGTGATCCGAAGCCTCCGTCTCTGGGATGCCACAGTCTGACACGGGTTTGTAACCAGGAAGCAACTGTGTGCAGAGAGAGAGAGAGAGGGGTAGGTGAGGGCATGAATGCATTGCATATGCTTTCTCTTCCCCTATCTACAGGTACTTGAGCCCTGATTTTTCAGCATCACCGTGAGTATTGTGACCATAACGCCAGCACAAGGGAAATGAAAATGGGTCTTAATAATATCATTTGGGTCTGGAATCTAGTTGTGCCCCAAAGCCAGCGTCTATCCTGGGCATTTCTGAAAAAGAGGCTTCTCTCTATTTCTCTCTTTCTTTTTTGATTTAAGTCAGTTCGAGTTGAGGTTTTAGTCCCATGCAAGAGAAGGAGTTGTAATTGACACAGGAGCTTTGCACTGCCAGTAAATTGCTTTGTTTTGCAGAATGCAAAGCCAAGCTTCAAGAAGAGAGAAAAGAAGTGCTGGATGGCTCCTTTTTGATTCTAGTTTCTTATTTATTTCTTGTTTTGTTGTTTTTGTAAGGAACATATAAGAAACTCTCCAACTGAATGCCACATGGTGCCTAGATTCTGATCCTTCTGCAGCAAAAACGTTTTTCTGTTCTCTGGATCATTCCTGGGTACTGTAGTTCTAGAAATGAAGACATGGAGAGGGCTGGCTGGAGTCAAATTAAAAAAAAAAAAAAAGCAACCTGAAGGGGGTAGAAATGATCAAAGCAAAGAAAAAAGAGTGAAATATCCTAATCTGAAGATGATTTCGTTTTCCAAAAGCTCCTAGCAAATTGAGAAGGCAGCCGAAGGAAAGGCTTGTTTGGGAAGGTATGCATCAAATAAAAGCAACAGCCATGAAAACAGAAGGTCTGTCTTCTAAAATGGATTCCTGGCAGTGAAACTCACTGGCTATAGCCAGCCCAGACTGAACTCCTTTCTTCATCCTTGAATGAATCACTATGGTCCCAGGGATGTGATGCTGTGCTTGGTCAGACTTGAGTCACCTGTCCACTTCTGGATCTATGGAGATGATGGACATCACCCTGCTGAGATTGTGGAAAGAGCAGTACGGGGAAAATCAGGATGGAAAAGAGGAATGAATGGAAGTCAGGCAGGTAACAAACAGAAACCAACAGATGAGAGTTCTCTTGAAAGCAGGCACTGTGTAGAATCCAAGCTCCTTTAATGACATATTTCTGAATGAAACATTTGTGTCTAAGATAAGCATTTCTGTGGGTTTTATAGGAAACATAGCTGTCTCTCTGTGCTGGATATTTTACACAGGAATTGTTCTGAAATACTTAAAATGTTAAAAACCTGCAGAATACTTTTGTTTTACAAATATAACAATACTGAGAAAGTAAGGATTGGATATTATGAAATTGCGAAGACTTCAGTTTCAGTTACTTGTTTCTTTAAAGTTTATTTATTTATTTTGAGGTGGGGGAGGGGTGGAGAGAGAAGGAGAGGGAAATTTCCAAGCAGGCTCCACACTGTCAGTGCAGAGCCCAATGCAGGGCTTAATCTCACGAGACGTGAAACCATGACCTGAGCCAAAATCAAGAGTCAGATGCTCAACCAACCGAGCCACCCAGGCACCCCTCAGTTACTTGTTACATGGCCTTACGATAGACTCAGGATTTTTTTCAGAGTACGTTAATATAAATAATTTCAGAGCCATAAAGACTAATTTTTGTGAAATTATCAGCCCTAGGCTCTTTGAATATACCACATTCAGAACATTCTCAGTGATGCAGCTATAGAGAAGGAAAACACTAGCTGGGGTGATGAATTGGCTCACTGGAATGGTTCTTAGAATTACATCACCACCTTGCAATAAGGTTCCATAAAAAAAAAAATACAAGGATTTGGGTTTGGTAATTTTCTCACCGCACTTTTCTTCTTCCTTTCCCCAAATTTTAATACATCAATAACTTATTAATTTGAAAGTCTTCCCTCTAACATAGGAAATGTGTCTCTTTCTGAGAAGATGGATGCTCCCCCCAAAAATAAAGCATGTGGAAGGTAAATCGGTGTTTTTGGATGGATGCCTTGTTGGAAGAAGACAAGAGGGTGGTCATGCCATTCTTACCTGACTTTCCCTTCTTCCGCTTGATAGTCCGCCTTCAGAAGCAGGTAAGCATGCCATCCATCATATTATCTGTTTCCTTTGTAGTAAATTTGACTGGTTTTAATCACGATATTTTGTTGACTTGATGTAACGTGCAGTATTTGAGTTGAAAGGGGGGCATGAACAGCTAAAATGACATCTCATTTTTTTTCAGGGACCTTTGTTCTTAAACACAGGAAGTTGTAAAATCTCCAGTAGCAAATTTCATTAGGTTTAGGCAATACTATAAGTGATGGCATTCTATTGAGTCAATGCCTTGAACGCGAATCAGGAGATTAACTATTGTGGCAAACTGTCAATCTTGACTCCTAAATTATTGTGAGTAGCGAATTTTTTGTTCTGGCTTTGAAGTTGAATTATTCTTTTCACTCAGTATGTCAGTCAGAAAAGAGATTTGTCTTCTCAGCTGAGCTCTGCCTGGTTTTCTTTAGGTAATTAATATTTCCCCTTTCTCCCACACTATGCCATTACTTTGTTATGATTCTCATTCATCAAGACCCAAATATTTCTTTAAAATTCTGAGGGGCTTGACAGGTTAAACTGTATCCCATTATTGATGATATTAAACAACACCTTCTGAAAAGTTGTCTTTAGGCTTTCTGTCAGATTTTCAGTAAAATGTCACCATATTTGTATCTTTATTTCTTTAAGAGAGAGGGAGAGAGAGAGGTCATTCAGAATCACTTGCTAAAGCTCTCTACAACGTGTTTTTAGACAAAAAAATATGGTTTGGGAAAGAAGAAAAATATCAATTTTTTGGAAGCATTGTAAAATATCCATTATTAACAGGCGTGTGAGCCTAAGTGCGCACAAATGTATGTCCAGGAATGTTCATTTCTGCCATGTTTGTATCCCCTAAAAAACAAAAATAGAAATAACCTAAATTTCCAAAAGGATGAAAAGTTAAATAAACCATGACACAATGTAATGTTATGTGTTATTTAAAAAGGATGAAGCACATTTACCTAGACTCGCTTGAAATGGAGCTCATGACATATCACTAGGAATAAAAAAGCAATTGCATAATAGTATAGTAGAATCATTTTTTTGGTAAAATATATGTCTTTATCTTATATATGTTAATGTATATGAACTGTTCATTGTAGTTAGATCTGAGCAATGAGAATTGTCAGTAATGAGTTGGGGAGGGCTTTTGTTGTACGGTAACATAACCTGTGTGTTTTTTTTTTAATGATAAGCATGCATAAAGGTTTTCAAATGCATATGGACAAAATAAAACAAGTCATTAAGCTCTCTCATCTCATAAGTGAGAGAACTGAACATGGAGAAATTCAATGACTTTCTTACTCTAGTCCAGCTCATTCGAGCCAGAAATGGTATTTGGATCCAGCTCTTTGGGCTTCCACATCTGTATGATTACTCCTGCATATAACTCCTCTTTCTTACATTAATCATAAACATTGTTTTAATAACCAATATCCGCATCTTTGAAATCAAACAGAAATAAACCCCTTGTCCCCACCACAAAGACCTTGGAATTTAAATCTTAGAAGCTTAAATCTTACTTTTCCTCACCATATCGACACATCCACTTTCCTCTAGGAATTAGAATTCAATTTATGCTGCATTTATGCTGCTTTGAGTCACAGTTTAGTCACACAACGCTAGGAAAGTCTCTACGGCTCAGCTCTTCTGACAAAGGTGCTCACTGTAGTGATACCTGTGAATCCATTTCACAAAGATTCACTATCCAGGTGGACTCTCCATTGGGCTGTTTCTTCTGCTTATTTCTTGGTCTCATCCTTTCTTTTCTTCCTGTGTGGCTGTCTGCAGGAAGTGGCTCCACATAGATGCTCCAGCGTCCAAATTCACCCTGCTGAGTAATTTATTCACTGTTTTCATTCAGTTGTCTTTATGTTGCAGACATTTGGACTTACTAAACTGTTGATTCTCTTTCCTTCTGGGGGATCTGAACTCTCTGAATGCTGAGGAAGGAAACCTTGCAAGGGCGAGTGGAAGACGAGCAACAGAACAGGGAGTTTCTGAGCGAAATTTCAATGTTAGCCAGTCATCGGTGTCCTCTTCCTTACCAACCATCAATGCAATTCTTGTCATCATCAGTGCCACCTGTTATTGGGCATTGACGAGAGCCTGGAGTAGGCACTTGACACAGACTTATGCCTCAGTACAGTCCTTTGGGCTGGATACTGTTAGTGTTCCATTGATACGTAAGGGGTGGAAGCAAATAAGGTAAGGCTTAGGTGATTTGTTCAAAGTCATATTGGCTGAGGACTACCTTGCCTATTTTGGAGGAGAATCTTCTTCTCTCAGGTTTCAGTCTTTGAGTTGGAAAAAAAAAAAAAGGCCAAGAAACCATAATAAGACTCATCACAGAAGTGGAATTCTCTAACACTGTCTTTCTCCCAATGTATTCAGCTTATTAGTGTATAGGGGAGCTCTAACTTTCTGAAAATGTCTATTGATTTTCTTGTGTGTGTGGGGGGGGGGATTTACAGAGACAATTCGTAGGCCTCAGATGCCGTTGTAACATTCACTGCTTTGCTGTGGATAGGAAGGATGTTTGTGAAAGAAGGCCAAGTAATGTCATCATTTGGCCTCATTTGTGAAATGAATGGCTGTGTTCCTGGCACTGAGAAGGATGCCCTAAAGCCATTTGAAAGATGAAAGGGCTTATCTTGAAACAAGGTTTTCTGGAAGATCACAAACCAACCGTCTAAAATGTTAGTTCAGATAAAATGAGAGCAAAGAACTATTGGAATCTTCAAGTTGAAATTTCTAATTAGGATTTTAACAACTTGTACAGAAATTGTCCTCGCTGCAGCCTTTGCAATTGATTCTTCTTATAGGAAGGGGAGAACGTTTTCTTATCCCTTTGCTTATGGACTTCAAAGATATACAGTGATTAGAGTGTTTTCCTTTTGCCCAGCTTTGGTATCGGGGCGTTCCTGTTGGGTTCTCTAGTCAAAATTCTTGTCTGCAGCTTGGAGCTGATTTTAATATAAATAGCAGGTTTGTCGTATCTCAGGTGCTTATTAAAATGTCATTCAGCAATTAGCTGAATCAAGAAAGGAACATAGTACACCTTTATTCTGCCTCGAAGCTTATAGATATCTACGTTGGGAATCTCACTTTGCTTCCATCATACTGAAGCAGCTGTTGGTTTGGGTGACTGGGCTATACATTTATAAGGAGCCATTGCTGCTCTTTGGAGATATCTGAAGGGGAATAACTTCTGCTACCTTCTCTCTACTAACATCACCAGTTTCGGAAGTGATAACAATCGATTCCCTAAAGCCATCAGCCTCTATGTAGTGTGTTATGAAATATAAAAATTACATTGAAATATTCTACACGTGTTTAGATTTCACATAATCTTGAAAGTTGGATATCAAGTGCTATCCTAAAAGAAAGAAAGAAAGAAAGAAAGAAAGAAAGAAAGAGAGAAACAAAAGAAGGAAGGAAGGAAGGAAGGAAGGAAGGAAGGAAGGAAGAAAAAGATGCTTTACCCCTCTAAAATCCAGACTGCAATAATGTATACCTCACTATTAGCAGTGGGATTCCCCACCCCCGCCCTGCCCCTGCTCCTGCTCCAACGGATTTGGGGGCAATCTCTGAGATGTTGCTATCACACTAAAGGGTTAAGTTTTTTAGGACAAGTCTGAAAGAGTTTAATTTTCTCAGCACGTTGCCTCATCTCTGGTAGCTGCCACAACATGCCTCATTTTGGTAGCACAGCAGTTGACACATTCTTTGGGCATGGAAAAAGTAACAAAAATCAGGAATCTCCCCTCCTCACTCTCACCAGTGAGAGCTGTGAAGAAATATAATTAAGGATTTGCATGCTTAGTATAATGAAATATTTTTTTCCAGTTCTGTTTGGTTCTGAATTAATAATAAGCAAAAGGAAAAGAAGCTCAGTACACAGGGTGTGCTGTGCACCTAACAAAATTTAATAATTGGTTAATTGGCACATCAATTTTTCTGTTATTTTTTTAGAATTGACAACTAATCCACTTGCCTACTTCTTATTAAATACATTTCCGT